GTCTAACCCTACTGACCAGTGTGACTAGTGACCAGTCTACCCCTACTGACCAGTGTGACTAGTGACCAGTCTATCCCTACTGACCAGTGTGACTAGTGACCAGTCTACCCCTACTGACCAGTGTGACTAGTGACAAATCTACCCCTACTGACCAGTGTGACTAGTGACCAGTCTACCCCTACTGACCAGTGTAACTAGTGACCAGTCTAATCCTACTGACCAGTGTGACTAGTGACAGTCTATCACTACTCACCAGTGTGGCTAGTGACCAGTCTACCCCTACTGACCAGTCCGACTAGTGACCAGTCTACCCCTACTGACCAGTGTGACTAGTGACCAGTCTATCCCTACTCACCAGTGTGACTAGTGACCAGTCTATCCCTACTGACCAGTGTGACTAGTGACCAGTCTACCCCTACTGACCAGTGTGACTAGTGACCAGTCTACCCCTACTGACCAGTGTGACTAGTGACCAGTCTATCCCTACTGACCAGTGTGACTAGTGACCAGTCTACCCCTACTGACCAGTGTGACTAGTGACAAATCTACCCCTACTGACCAGTGTGACTAGTGACCAGTCTACCCCTACTGACCAGTGTGACTAGTGACCAGTCTACCCCTACTGACCAGTGTGACTAGTGACCAGTCTATCACTACTCACCAGTGTGGCTAGTGACCAGTCTACCCCTACTGACCAGTGTGACTAGTGACCAGTCTACCCCTACTGACCAGTGTGACTAGTGACCAGTCTATCCCTACTCACCAGTGTGACTAGTGACCAGTCTACCCCTACTGACCAGTGTGACTAGTGACCAGTCTAACCCTACTGACCAGTGTGACTAGTGACCAGTCTACCCCTACTGACCAGTTTGACTAGTGACCAGTCTACCCCTACTGACCAGTGTGACTAGTGACCAGTCTATCCCTACTGACCAGTGTGACTAGTGACCAGTCTACCCCTACTGACCAGTGTGACTAGTGACCAGTCTATCCCTACTCACCAGTGTGACTAGTGACCAGTCTATCCCTACTGACCAGTGTGACTAGTGACCAGTCTATCCCTACTGACCAGTGTGGCTAGTGACCAGTCTACCTCTACTGACCAGTGTGACTAGTGACCAGTCTATCCCTACTGACCAGTGTGGCTAGTGACCAGTCTACCCCTACTGACCAGTGTGACTAGTGACCAGTCTATCCCTACTGACCAGTTTGACTAGTGACCAGTCTACCCCTACTGACCAGTGTGACTAGTGACCAGTCTACCCCTACTGACCAGTTTGACTAGTGACCAGTCTACCCCTACTGACCAGTGTGACTAGTGACCAGTCTATCCCTACTGACCAGTGTGACTAGTGACCAGTCTATCCCTACTGACCAGTGTGACTAGTGACCAGTCTACCCCTACTGACCAGTGTGACTAGTGACCAGTCTACCCCTACTGACCAGTGTGACTAGTCACCAATCTATCCCTACTGACCAGTGTGACTAGTGACCAGTCTATCCCTACTGACCAGTGTGACTAGTGACCAGTCTATCCCTACTGACCAGTATGACTAGTGACCAGTCTATCCCTACTGACCAGTGTGACTAGTGACCAGTCTATCCCTACTGACCAGTGTGACTAGTGACCAGTCTACCCCTACTGACCAGTGTGACTAGTGACCAGTATATCCCTACTGACCAGTGTGACTAGTGACCAGTCTACCCCTACTGACCAGTGTGACTAGTGACCAGTCTACCCCTACTGACCAGTGTGACTAGTGACCAGTCTATCCCTACTGACCAGTGTGACTAGTGACCAGTCTACCCCTACTGACCAGCGTGACTAGTGACCAGTCTACCCCTACTGACCAGTGTGACTAGTGACCAGTCTACCCCTACTGACCACTTTGCCAGGCATGTACGTTGTAACTAGTGACAACTTGATGAAAGAGCAGTAACCAACTTTTCTTGTCCCAGTAGGCGGGCGGGCAGCTGATTGTGTGTGTGTGTGTGTGTGTGTGTGTGTGTGTGTGTTTGTGTGTGTGTGTGTGCGTTCGTGCGTGCGTGCGTGCGTGTGTGAAGCGATATGTATAGATTATAGACCGGTTAGGAGGTCTATACAGGATATACAGACCGAGTAAAAGCCCGAGGTTCCCCGAGGTCTTTTACGAGGTCTATATATCCTGCATAGAGAAACTATGAGGTCTATAATCTATTTATCGTGTTCTCCACACAATAGTTTCTCTGCATATACGACATATCATTGTAATTCTAGTATAATACTATAGCCTATACCGCATTTTACTGCATTGAAAGTCAAGATCATTGTTCTAAACTAGGTTCAGCATCGGTAGCACATTGGCTGGGTGGTAAGGAAGAGTGACTGAGATTCACAAGGTTGTGGGTTCAAATCCTGTCTTGTGTATTTCTGCTTTCTTCAAAAATTTCTTTTTCGAAGTTGGATAGAAAATTTTTTAGTCCAAGAAATTCTAAGGAGTCAAATATAATTAGTCAATTATAATGTGTATTTGACTAAGCAGTCAAATTTGCGATATATTTGACCGCTTTAGGTATCAGGGAAATTAGTGGGGTCAAATGCTAAGAAGGCGATAATCCACGATATATCACTGACAATATCCATCAAACGGTTAGCGTACAATGCTTGTGTGCTGTCGACTCTCCTATATGGGTCCGAATGCTGGGTACCGCTACAGGCTGATGTTCATGCGCTGTCTGTCTTTCATCGCTGTTGTGTCTGCACCATTCTGGGCATCAGTTGTCAAGATCTATGGAATGACAGGACAACTAATGTTGAAGTTCTGGAGTGCTGGGGAGATACCTTGGACATGGAGTGTCGTCTCAGCAGACGTCACCTTGAGTGGCTTGGTCATGTGTCAAGGATGGAGGATGAGCGCATCCCGAAGGCTCTACTGCTCGGTGCGTTTCCAAACAAGAGACCTGCCTATGGTCCGCAGAAAAGGTGGCGAGACTGTGTTCGGAGTGGCGTCAAACCACCTGACGACTGGTATGAAGTGGCCACCTCTTGTCGCTCCAAATGGCGCAAGGCTTACCGTTGTTTGCCAGACAAGCAGAACAAACCTCGACCATCACCGGTTGTGTGCCAAACTTGTCACCGCTCCTTCAGTCGTGTACGTGACAGGAAGCGACACAAGCGTACAGCTACGCGTGACCTGCCCTTAAGGTGGCAGACAACCCAAAATTCGCTGAAAAATCGGATTTGTAAATAATATTATTCATATTGAGTGCTACGTCAGTTGAAAGAGCTTGAATAGCTGCAAATTCTCTGAAAATTGTGTCCCGATCTGACCAGCCGTTCAAGAGTTATGGCCTAAAATGTGCCCTTGTAAGGAAAGATTTTTTGTTGCACGCTGTCATTTGTTGGCAGCATTGTATTTGAATTTGAGCAGACAGTGCGCAACTTGTCGTATGGAAACACGCGAAAGTGTGCAGAATTTTGCTCCAAGTCCAAAAATCACGTTTTTGAGCCACGTGCAGCAGGACTTTTGCAAGCACCCTCGTGACGTTGCAGATATGCGGCTTGATTATTGTAGTTGACGTTGATTTAGTTACTTTGGCAAGTTTGAGTCGTGTCAAGAAGTCAGTCAGGATTCAGTACTAGGCAGTAGCGGAACGTGAGTGGTAGTCTTTGCCGGTTTCTGAGGGTATCCTGGATTTGGTGTGTGTTATATCATCCGTATCATGCCTGTCATGATTGTCTGAAGCTATTGTCTGTGTTGTGGTTGACTTCACTCCTTAGTGCTATTGACTGGCCTTTCGTACAATACCTATTGATGTCTAGAGACAAACTGTCTAGCCTTCCCCTCGTGCGCTTATTGATACACTATCCAGCTGTCCAGTGGGTCTCCTTCCACCGCTCTCTATTTCGCTATACTCTTCTTCACACTCTATAAGTTCGTGTCTTCTTTACAATAAAATCAGTTCAGTGAGTTCGAGATCACAACAGTGTGCAGCGCTGTGGAAATGGCTTGCTGTGGACGTCCCAGCACTGGCTTTTGTATCAAAGGTACGACCTCGTAGCACGTGCTAAACCTAAAAAAATTCAAAAATTGATTTGGGTCTGTGGGAGTCTGTGAGAGAACGCCCACTCGTTCCGTTGTCACAGATTCCAGGGCCACGTTGAGGGGCCCTACCCCACCACCCATGGCTGCTTCTTGACTTGTTTTAGATTTGGGTCCCGCACACGGACAGAATGGGCACAAAAATGTGAACAATTGAAAATGCACATTGCCGGAAATTTGAGTTTTTCCAGCCTGGAAAGCCTGTCAGTGAGGCGCAAGAACTTGTAAATCATGTCTTGAGGGCCAGCATAGTGGCAGGAGTGCGTGGTCAAAATTTCTCTCAAATCCATTGAGAAACACCAAAGTTGCGGTCAATTGAATGCCATATGAAATTTATGGGTAGGCTGCCCCTTAAGCCAACAGCCAGGAAGTTGTCACTGCGACCAGTGCAACAGATGGTTCCGGAGCAAGGGTGGATTTGCCCGACGCAAGTGCTCGCCAGCAAAATCACCAGCAGAGGCATCTTCTGACACACTTGAGTCACCGGTTGCGAACAATATGTCCTGCGAACGCTTCAGCTTCCACTGCGCCAGCTGCAACTGCTATGTGCTATCGCACCAAGGCATGAAGCATCAGAAGTGCAGCCGTGGCTCGGCCAGAGCATCCAACGCAGACCGTAGCTCCTTCTGCGTCGTTTGCAATTGCGGGCGGCATTTCAGTAGACCACAGGGCCTATACCGTCATCGCCCCTACTGTTCCGAACCTGCTCAACCCCCATGGGGCCCACATAGCCAGAATATGGCATAGCATCCAAGGTCCAAGGTGTGTGTGTGTGTGTGTGTGTGTGTGTCTGTGTGTTTGTATATACATGTATATATATGTGTGTGTTTGTGTACTTGTGCATTGGTACATGGGTGCATACACATGTGTGTGCATGTGAGAGAGTGTTTATGTGTACCTATCTTATCATGTATATAGGTGAACAAGATACAACTGCAGCATGTGAACGCATAGTGGAAATGCAAAACCAGACCAACACAACTGTCCGTCAACTACAGGAGCAAAGTGCTACAACCTCCGCAAGCATTGGACAACTACTGGAGCAAAGTGCTACAAGTGCCACAAGCATTGGGCAACTACTGGAGCAGCAGCAAGACACTAGCCATAAGCTTTCACGTGTCTCAGCAGCTGTTACCACCATTCAACGAGGTGAGTACATTTTTTCAAGGTCTACAATAAAACCTATAACTAAAGACCAGTGTGACTAGAGACCAGTCTACCCCTACTGACCAGTGTGACTAGTGACCAGTCTATCCCTACTGACCAGTGTGACTAGTGACCAGTCTATCCCTACTGACCAGTGTGACTAGAGACCAGTCTACCCCTACTGACCAGTGTGACTAGTGACCAGTCTACCCCTACTGACCAGTGTGACTAGTGACCAGTCTACCACTACTGACCAGTGTGACTAGAGACCAGTCTATCTCTACTGACCAGTGTGACTAGAGACCAGTCTATCCCTACTGACCAGTGTGACTAGTGACCAGTCTACCCCTACTGACCAGTGTGGCTAGTGACCAGTCTACCCCTACTGACCAGTGTGACTAGTGACCAGTCTATCCCTACTGACCAGTGTAACTAGTGACCAGTCTATCCCTACTGACCAGTGTGACTAGTGACCAGTCTACCCCTACTGACCAGTGTGACTAGTGACCAGTCTACCCCTACTGACCAGTGTGACTAGTGACCAGTCTATCCCTACTGACCAGTGTGACTAGTGACCAGTCTATCCCTACTGACCAGTGTGACTAGTGACCAGTCTATCCCTACTGACCAGTGTGACTAGTGACCAGTCTACCCCTACTGACCAGTGTGACTAGTGACCAGTCTAACCCTACTGACCAGTGTGACTAGTGACCAGTCTACCCCTACTGACCAGTGTGGCTAGTGACCAGTCTACCCCTACTGACCAGTGTGACTAGTGACCAGTCTACCCATACTGACCAGTGTGACTAGTGACCAGTCTACACCTACTGACCAGTGTGGCTAGTGACCGGTCTACCCCTACTGACCAGTGTGGCTAGTGACCAGTCTACCCCTACTGACCAGTGTGACTAAAGACCAGTCTACCCATACTGACCAGTGTGACTAGTGACCAGTCTACCCCTACTGACCAGTGTGGCTAGTGACCAGTCAACCCCTACTGACCAGTTTTGTAACCGTTTGAAGGTATTCTTGGAAAAGACAATGCTTGCTCAAGGCAACACAACTGATATAGGCCACTTCTTGCCCTAAGGTGATTACGCGAGTGCTGACAGGATAGGGAAAGGTGCAAGATACAGAGCTAGAGGGCGGATAAGGTTAGCGCTAACAGGGAACTGTTACACCATCCCTCCCTCCTAAGCGAGGCACAGTTGCCTCCAGGGAGTCGAGGAATATGTGGAAAGGGAATAATCAAAATGAAATCGTGTCAACCCAACAACGCTCATCTAATTGAAGCACCGTGCAAGGTAACCAAGGACAGTCAGGCGAGTGAAGATAAGAATATCATCCAGAAACACTACCACAAACCGCCGTAAGTACGGTTGGAGAATACTGTTCATCAGTGACTGAAACGTGGCAGGGGCGTTAGTTAATCCAAAGCCCATGACCCGGAACTGGAAATGACCGAAGGGAGTATTGATAGCCGTCTTAGGTACATCTTCCTGACGGATCCTAAGCTGATTGTTTCCCGAGCGTAAATCCAGCTTACTGAAGTATGAGCTACCTTGAATGGTATCAAACAGGTCATCAATGTTGGGAGGCAAGCTTTGTTTTTGATGGTGATCCTGTTCAAATTCCGCCAATCACAAACCATGCGCAATGAGCCATCAGACTTTTTAACGAAAAAGACTGGGGCACCGTATGGTGACTTGCTGGGTTCGATGAAGCCCTTGCGGAGGAGTTCCGTGAGCTGGGCTTGCAATTCGTCCATCTCGGGTTTGGGGAGACGGTAGGCAGCCCGTGTTGGAGGAACGGCACCCTCCTCAGTCACAATCTCATGGTCGACATCCCTCTCTGGCGGAAGCTCGGTCGGCAGGTCGTCTGGAAAGATGTCTGAGTACCGCCGCAGAAGGTTAGCCAGCTGCTCTTGATGATCTGGGTGTTGTCTGGCGGCTGATGGCTTGCTGTCCTCCTCCTCGTCGTCAGTAGCGTTGACCCACGCCAGGATTCCCTGCGCGCCTTTTCTCAACTCGCGGCGAGCCTGAGAACCAGATATGAGCATGCTCTCAATTGGCGGCGACTCCTGACGCTCCGTATCACTATTTTGGCCGGAAGGGGGTTTAGCAACGAGCGGCTCTCCATTCCGTTTGACTTCGTTGGTCTGAAAGTTGATATCCGGATTGTGTCTGGTCAGCCATGGCTTGCCCAGGATAGCATCATAGCGGCTCAACGGAAAAACTGTGAAAGATTGGGTGTCGCTGAAGTCTTTCACGATAACCTTTACCGGACCGGTCCTCTGCAGTCCCGATGATGTCGACGAGCGATCAGCCAGGGTTACCTTCAGTGTTTCGTCCTTGCTCTCCGTAACAAGGCCGTTTCTTTGCACCAAAGCTTCCGATATGAAGTCGTGCGTCGATCCCGAGTCAATAAGCATAATTGCCCGGCGGCCGTTGATCCTGCCCTCAACACGGAGAAGGTCATGCTCCAAAGGAAGCTCCGTGTCCTGTACTGCGATATCAACGTTGCTGACATGGGATTCCTGTTCGGCAACATCTTCCGAATCAGCTTGCAGCGTCGGTTCTTCCAGCTCTAGTACGTTGTAACGGTTGCGTATGTCAACCGGGTAACCGTTGGGTGCTTTCCGCTCGGTCGCCAGCGAGCTCACGCCATTTTTCACTGGCGACCAGCATTTGGGTGTTGATTGCTGGGACAATCCCGAGCTAGGTGACCTGGCTTCCGACAAGCGAAGCATCCACCCTGCCGACTCAGGTGACGCCTCTCCTCCGGTGTTAGCCTTTGGGGTCGTACGGGCTGACTTCGGTGCTGAATTGGGTTCGGCTGTTGGTCCGCCGTTTACGCTGACCTGATCGCTTGGCTCAGATCAGTGGGGTGCTCTCGCAGCACCTGGGTCTTGACAGGTGGGTGCAGTCCATTTACGAACAGCAGTCCTCGGGTCAGCTCGTCGATCTCAGGCACTTGTAGGCTTAGCCGCGAGAACTCGGTGACATAGTTCTCCAAGCGTGAGTGCTGCCTGACAGCGAAGAGATCCAGTCGCACCCGCTCTTGATGATGCAACGGACCGTTCACCTTGGCGAGGGCTTCACGCAGCGCTGGCCACGTCGAGAACTCCACACCCGTATCCAACGATGCGATGAGCCATAGCTTGGCGTTGCCGCTCAGGAAGCCCGCTGCGTAATCCACCATCACCGATGAGTCGGTGATTCCCAGTGACCGAATCGCCAGCTCAATGGAGAAAGCCCACTCCTTGAACTGCGAGGGCTTGCCATCGAAGATCGGCGGCTCCTTAGCGTGTAGACGAATGAGCGGGCGGCACAGGGAGCGGTTGTCGGTTGCTCAGACGGGCGCTGACTTGGCGACTGGCTTCACGGACTTGCTGGCCAACCTGAATAGCATTACAGAAAGAACAAGGATCGCCACGACAATGGCGAGCTCCAAGAACACCATGTTAACCATCCTCCGCTACCAGTGTAACCGTTTGAAGGTTTTCTTGGAAAAGACAATGCTTGCTCAAGGCAACACAACTGATATAGGGCACTTCGTGCCCTAAGGTGATAACGCGAGTGCTGACAGGATAGGGAAAGGTGCAAGATACAGAGCAAGAGGGCAGATAAGGTTAGCGCTAACAGGGAACTGTTTCAAGTGTGGCTAGTGACCAGTCTATCCCTACTGATCAGTGTGACTAGTGACCAGTCTATCCCTACTGACCAGTGTGACTAGTGACCAGTCTATCCCTACTGACCAGTGTGACTAGTGACCAGTCTACCCCTGCTGACCAGTGTGACTAGTGACCAGTCTACCCCTACTGACCAGTGTGACTAGTGACCAGTCTACCCCTACTGACCAGTGTGACTAGTGATCAGTCTACCCCTACTGACCAGTGTGACTAGTGACCAGTCTACCCCTGCTGACCAGTGTGACTAGTGACCAGTCTATCCCTACTGACCAGTGTGACTAGTGACCAGTCTACCCCTACTGACCAGTGTGACTAGTGACCAGTCTATCCCTACTGACCAGTGTGACTAGTGATCAGTCTACCCCTACTGATCAGTGTGACAAGTGACCAGTCTACCCCTACTGACCAGTGTGACTAGTGACCAGTCTACCCCTACTGACCAGTGTGACTAGTGACCAGTCTTCCCCTACTGACCAGTGTGACTAGTGATCAGTCTACCCCTACTGACCAGTGTGACTAGTGACCAGTCTACCCCTGCTGACCAGTGTGACTAGTGACCAGTCTATCCCTACTGACCAGTGTGACTAGTGACCAGTCTACCCCTACTGACCAGTGTGACTAGTGACCAGTCTATCCCTACTGACCAGTGTGACTAGTGATCAGTCTACCCCTACTGATCAGTGTGACAAGTGACCAGTCTACCCCTACTGACCAGTGTGACTAGTGACCAGTCTACCCCTACTGACCAGTGTGACTAGTGACCAGTCTATCCCTACTGACCAGTGTGACTAGTGACCAGTCTATCCCTACTGACCAGTGTGACTAGTGACCAGTCTACCCCTTCTGACCAGTGTGACTAGTGACCAGTCTATCCCTACTGACCAGTGTGACTAGTGACCAGTCTATCCCTACTGACCAGTGTGACTAGTGGCCAGTCTACCCCTACTGACCAGTGTCACTAGTGACCAGTCTACCCCTACTGCCCAGTGTGACTAGTGACCAGTCTATCCCTACTGACCAGTGTGACTAGTGACCAGTCTACCCCTACTGACCAGTGTGACTAGTGACCAGTCTATCCCTACTGACCAGTGTGACTAGTGGCCAGTCTACCCCTACTGACCAGTGTGACTAGTGACCAGTCTACCCCTACTGACCAGTTTGACTAGTGACCAGTCTATCCCTACTGACCAGTGTGACTAGTGACCAGTCTATCCCTACTGACCAGTGTGACTAGTGACCAGTCTATCCCTACTGACCAGTGTGACTAGTGACCAGTCTACCCCTACTGACCAGTGTGACTAGTGACCAGTCTATCCCTACTGACCAGTGTGACTAGTGACCAGTCTACCCCTACTGACCAGTGTGGCTAGTGACCAGTCTACCCCTACTGACCAGTGTGACTAGTGACCAGTATATCCCTACTGACCAGTGTGACTAGTGACCAGTCTACCCCTACTGACCAGTGTGGCTAGTGACCAGTCTACCCCTACTGACCAGTGTGACTAGTGACCAGTATATCCCTACTGACCAGTGTGACTAGTGACCAGTCTATCCCTACTGACCAGTGTGACTAGTGACCAGTCTATCCCTACTGACCAGTGTGACTAGTGATAGGGACTTCAGACCATTTCTTCAAATCGGTTTTCTGTGGCTTATGTTTTGCTTTTTGGATAGGTTAGAGCTTCCTGAGGAGTTTGGTCTTTAGTTTTTCTAAATCGGACAAAGGAAACTAAAGTTACAAGCAAAATAGTCATCGCCTATCACCGGATTGGTCCGACAAACGTCCCACACATTTGAGATCAGATAGATATGTCAAACTGAGAGAACCCACTGTCCTTGGCAACGCATAGCAACCGTACACCAGATCCAAAAACAATCTTGATTCTCCGCATGAAATAGCTGAATAGTATGGTTTACAATGTAACGGTGGTTAGTAACAGGAGACATTGATAATACAGTCCTGAGATAGCTTCGGACTGTTGGCGTGGTTGGTGTCAAGAAAAAGAATAATCACGGAAGAGGCACTGACTAAGCTCAACATGTACATGTACAGGACATTGTATTGGCTGGGGTAATCGTAGCACGCACATCATCATCGGCAGAGATGCAGCAAATAGCAACAAGAGTATATAGCACATCTCCCAGTTCGGCACTCTTTCAGCTATTCTTGCGGAGCTCAACCAGATCGAGCATAACAGCATCGGAGACAAGAATCGAGGCATGGACCGAAACAGCCAAGCGCAATTCAATTTGTACATCAGCATCATTTAGCGCAGGATACTTCTCGCTGCTTTCCATACTGTGACTATGGCGGCGCTGAACGGCAAAGTACAAAGAGTTATAATGCAAGAAATAGGTCTTCTGGAAGGTGAAAACAATAAAGATTACCTTCTATCTAGACTAATTCGAGGTCGTAGAATACGAATATCACATTTTCAAGAAGGGGACCCGGACGGATCATATGGTTTCTCACCTTTCCCTTCCATCCGCATACGTAACTCCGTCAAAAATGAACGTAACAGCTCCATTCTTGCTGGTCCCAAACGAAGGCAAGCTCCAACAAGACGAACCGAAACTTTCTCCAACTGTACAAGACTTCCTTCATTTCGAAAAACGGTTCCACTTTTCTCTACACGACTTGACATATGACCATCACACGATTTGTGCAGGCGTCGATTTGCACGCTTTTGGGCCAAGAAGTCACGTGGTCTGAAGTCCCTACTAGTGACCAGTCTACCCCTACTGACCAGTGTGACTAGTGACCAGTCTACCCCTACTGACCAGTGTGACTAGTGACCAGTCTACCCCTACTGACCAGTGTGACTACTGACCAGTCTATCCCTACTGACTAGTGTGAGTAGTGACCAGTCTACCCCTACTGACCAGTGGGACTAGTGACCAGTCTATCCTTACTGACCAGTGTGACTAGTGACCAGTCTATCCCTACTGACCAGTGTGAGAAGTGACCAGTCTATCCCTACTGACCAGTGTGAGTAGTGACCAGTCTACCCCTACTGACCAGTGTGACTAGTGACCAGTCTACCCCTACTGACCAGTGTGACTAGTGGCCAGTCTACCCCTACTGACCAGTGTGGCTAGTGACCAGTCTACCCCTACTGACCAGTGTGACTAGTGACCAGTCTACCCCTACTGACCAGTGTGACTAGTGACCAGTCTACCCCTACTGACCAGTGTGACTAGTGACCAGTCTACCCCTACTGACCAGTGTGACTAGTGACCAGTCTACCCCTACTGACCAGTGTGACTAGTGACCAGTCTATCCCTACTGACCAGTGTGACTAGTGACCAGTCTACCACTACTGACCAGTGTGACTAGTGACCAGTCTATCCCTACTGACCAGTGTGACTAGTGACCAGTCTACCCCTACTGACCAGTGTGACTAGTGACCAGTCTACCCCTACTGACCAGTGTGACTAGTGACCAGTCTATCCCTACTGACCAGTGTGACTAGTGACCAGTCTACCCCTACTGACCAGTGTGACTAGTGACCAGTCTACCCCTACTGACCAGTGTGACTAGTGACCAGTCTATCCCTACTGACCAGTGTGACTAGTGACCAGTCTATCCCTACTGACCAGTGTGACTAGTGACCAGTCTATCCCTACTGACCAGTGTGACTAGTGACCAGTCTACCCCTACTGACCAGTGTGACTAGTGACCAGTCTACCCCTACTGACCAGTGTGACTAGTGACCAGTCTACCCCTACTGACCAGTGTGACTAGTGACCAGTCTACCCCTACTGACCAGTGTGACTAGTGACCAGTCTACCCCTACTGACCACTTTGCCAGGCATGTACGTTGTAACTAGTGACAACTTGATGAATGAGCAGTAACCAACTTTTCTTGTCCCATTAGGTGGGCGGGCAGCTGATTGTGTGTGTGTGTGTGTGTGTGTGTTTGTGTGTGTGTGTGCGTTCGTGCGTGCGTGCGTGCGTGTGTGAAGCGATATGTATAGATTATAGACCGGTTAGGAGGTCTATACAGGATATATAGACCGAGTAAAAGACCGAGGTTCCCCGAGGTCTTTTACGAGGTATATATATCCTGCACAGAGCAACTATGAGGTCTATAATCTATTTATCGTGTTCTCCACACAATAATTTCTCTGCATATACGACATATCATTGTAATTCTAGTATAATACTATAGCCTATACCGCATTTTACTGCATTGAAAGTCAAGATCATTGTTCTAAACTAGGTTCAGCATCGGTAGCACATTGGCTGGATGGTAAGGTAGAGTGACTGAGATTCACAAGGTTGTGGGTTCAAATCCTGTCTTGTGTATTTCTGCTTTCTTCAAAAATTTCTTTTTCGAAGTTGGATAGAAAATTTCTTAGTCCAAGAAATTCTAAGGAGACAAATATAATTAGTCAATTATAATGTGTATTTGACTAAGCAGTCAAATACGCGATATATTTGACCGCTTTAGGTATCAGGGAAATTAGTGGGGTCAAATGCTAAGAAGGCGATAATCCACGATATATCACTGACAATATCCATCAAACGGTTAGCGTACAATGCTTGTGTGCTGTCGACTCTCCTATATGGGTCCGAATGCTGGGTACCGCTACAGGCTGATGTTCATGCGCTGTCTGTCTTTCATCGCTGTTGTGTCTGCACCATTCTGGGCATCAGTTGTCAAGATCTATGGAATGACAGGACAACTAATGTTGAAGTTCTGGAGTGCTGGGGAGATACCTTGGACATGGAGTGTCGTCTCAGCAGACGTCGCCTTGAGTGGCTTGGTCATGTGTCAAGGATGGAGGATGAGCGCATCCCGAAGGCTCTACTGTTCGGTGCGTTTCCAAACAAGAGACCTGCCTATGGTCCGCAGAAAAGGTGGCGAGACTGTGTTCGGAGTGGCGTCAAACCACCTGACGACTGGTATGAAGTGGCCACCTCTTGTCGCTCCAAATGGCGCAAGGCTTACCGTTGTTTGCCAGACAAGCAGAACAAACCTCGACCATCACCGGTTGTGTGCCAAACTTGTCACCGCTCCTTCAGTCGTGTACGTGACAGGAAGCGACACAAGCGTACAGCTACGCGTGACCTGCCCTTAAGGTGGCAGACAACCCAAAATTCGCTGAAAAATCGGATTTGTAAATAATATTATTCATATTGAGTGCTACGTCAGTTGAAAGAGCGTGAATAGCTGCAAATTCTCTGAAAATTGTGTCCCGATCTGACCAGCCGTTCAAGAGTTATGGCCTAAAATGTGCCCTTGCAAGGAAAGATTTTTTGTTGCACGCTGTCATTTGTTGGCAGCATTGTATTTGAATTTGAGCAGACAGTGCGCAACTTGTCGTATGGAAACACGCGAAAGTGTGCAGAATTTTGCTCCAAGTCCAAAAATCACGTTTTTGAGCCACGTGCAGCAGGACTTTTGCCAGCACCATCGTGACGTTGCAGATATGCGGCTTGATTATTGCAGTTGACGTTGATTTAGTTACTTTGGCAAGTTTGAGTCGTGTCAAGAAGTCAGTCAGGATTCAGTACTAGGCAGTAGCGGAACGTGAGTGGTAGTCTTTGCCGGTTTCTGAGGGTATCCTGGATTTGGTGTGTGTTATATCATCCGTATCATGCCTGTCATGATTGTCTGAAGCTATTGTCTGTGTTGTGGTTGACTTCACTCCTTAGTGCTATTGACTGGCCTTTCGTACAATACCTATTGATGTCTAGAGACAAACTGTCTAGCCTTCCCCTCGTGCGCTTATTGATACACTATCCAGCTGTCCAGTGGGTCTCCTTCCACCGCTCTCTATTTCGCTATACTCTTCTTCACACTCTATAAGTTCGTGTCTTCTTTACAATAAAATCAGTTCAGTGAGTTCGAGATCACAACAGTGTGCAGCGCTGTGGAAATGGCTTGCTGTGGACGTCCCAGCACTGGCTGTTGTATCAAAGGTACGACCTCGCAGCACGTGCTAAACCTAAAAAAATTCAAAAATTGATTTGGGTCTGTGGGAGTCTGTGAGAGAACGCCCACTCGTTCCGTTGTCACAGATTCCAGGGCCACGTTGAGGGGCCCTACCCCACCACCCATGGCTGCTTCTTGACTTGTTTTAGATTTGGGTCCCGCACAGGGACTGAATGGGCACAAAAATGTGAACAATTGAAAATGCATTTGTTTGGCTCCTGGGTGGCTCGCACTCCGTGGAACATTACCGGAAATTTGAGTTTTTCCAGCCTGGAAAGCCTGTCAATGAGGCGCAAGAACTTGTAAATCATGTCTTGAGGGCCAGCATAGTGGCAGGAGTGCGTAGTCAAAATTCCACTCAAATCCATTGAGAAACACCAAAGTTACGGTCAATTGAATGCCATATGAAATTTATGGGTAGGCTGCCCCTTAAGCCAACAGCCAGGAAGTTGTCACTGCGACCAGTGCAACAGATGGTTCTTGAGCAAGGGTGGATTTGCCCGACGCAAGTGCTCGCCAGCAAAATCACCAGCAGAGGCATCTTCTGACACACTTGAGTCACCGGTTGCGAACAATATGTCCTGCGAACGCTTCAGCTTCCACTGCGCCAGCTGCAACTGCTATGTGCTATCGCACCAAGGCATGAAGCGTCAGAAGTGCAGCCGTGGCTCGGCCAGAGCATCCAACGCAGACCGTAGCTCCTTCTGCGTCGTTTGCAATTGCGGGCGGCGTTTCAGTAGACCACAGGGCCTATACCGTCATCGCCCCTACTGTTCCGAACCTGCTCAACCCCCATGGGGCCCACATAGCAAGAATATGGCATAGCATCCAAGGTCCAAGGTGTGTGTGTGTGTGTGTGTGTGTGTCTGTGTGTTTGTATATACATGTATATATATGTGTGTGTTTGTGTACTTGTGCATTGGTACATGGGTGCATACACATGTGTGTGCATGTGAGAGAGTGTTTATGTGTACCTATCTTATCATGTATATAGGTGAACAAGATACAACTGCAGCATGTGAACGAATAGTGGAAATGCAAAACCAGACCAACACAACTGTCCGTCAACTACAGGAGCAAAGTGCTACAACCTCCGCAAGCATTGGACAACTACTGGAGCAAAGTGCTACAAGTGCCACAAGCATTGGGCAACTACTGGAGCAGCAGCAAGACACTAGCCATAAGCTTTCACGTGTCTCAGCAGCTGTTACCACCATTCAACAAGGTGAGTATATTTTTTCCAAGGACTACAGTAAAACCTATAACTAAAGATCAGTGTGACTAGTGACCTGTCCACCCCTACTGACCAGTGTGACTAGAGACCAGTCTATCCCTACTGACCAGTGTGACTAGAGACCAGTCTATCCCTACTGACCAGTGTGACTAGTGACCAGTCTACCCCTACTGACCAGTGTGACTAGAGACCAGTCTATCCCTACTGACCAGTGTGACTAGTGACCAGTCTATCCCTACTGACCAGTGTGACTAGAGACCAGTCTATCCCTCCTGACTAGTGTGATTAGAGACCAGTCTATCCCTACTGACCAGTGTGACTAGTGACCAGTCTACCCCTACTGACCAGTGTGGCTAGTGACCAGTCTACCCCTACTGACCAGTGTGACTAGTGACCAGTCTATCCCTACTGACCAGTGTGACTAGTGACCAGTCTATCCCTACTGACCAGTGTGACTAGTGACCAGTCTACCCCTACTGACCAGTGTGACTAGTGACCAGTCTACCCCTACTGACCAGTGTGACTAGTGACCAGTCTATCCCTACTGACCAGTGTGACTAGTGACCAGTCTATCCCTACTGACCAGTGTGACTAGTGACCAGTCTATCCCTACTGACCAGTGTGACTAGTGACCAGTCTACCCCTACTGACCAGTGTGACTAGTGACCAGTCTAACCCTACTGACCAGTGTGACTAGTGACCAGTCTACCCCTACTGACCAGTGTGGCTAGTGATCAGTCTAACCCTACTGACCAGTGTGACTAGTGACCAGTCTACCCCTACTGACCAGTGTGACTAGTGACCAGTCTATCCCTACTGACCAGTGTGGCTAGTGACCAGTCTATCCCTACTGACCAGTGTGACTAGAGACCAGTCTATCCCTACTGACCAGTGTGACTAGTGACCAGTCTATCCCTACTGACCAGTGTGACTAGTGACCAGTCTATCCCTACTGACCAGTGTGACTAGTGACCAGTCTACCCCTACTGACCAGTGTGACTAGAGACCAGTCTACCCCTACTGACCAGTGTGACTAGTGACCAGTCTACCCCTACTGACCAGTGTGACTAGTGACCAGTCTATCCCTACTGACCAGTGTGACTAGTGACCAGTCTATCCCTACTGACCAGTGTGACTAGTGACCAGTCTATCCCTACTGACCAGTGTGACTAGTGACCAGTCTACCCTACTGACCAGTGTGACTAGTGACCAGTCTATCCCTACTGAATAGTGTGACTAGTGACCAGTCTACCCCTACTGACCAGTGTGACTAGTCATCAGTCTATCCCTACTGACCAGTGTGACTAGTGACCAGTCTACCCATACTGACCAGTGTGACTAGTGACCAGTCCATCCCTACTGACCAGTGTGACTAGTGACCAGTCTACCCCTACTGACCAGTGTGACTAGTGACCAGTCTATCCCTACTGACCAGTGTGACTAGTGACCAGACTACCCCTACTGACCAGTGTGACTAGTGACCAGTCTACCCCTACTGACCAGTGTGACTAGTGACCAGTCTACCCCTACTGACCAGTGTGACCATTGACCAGTCTATCCCTACTGACCAGTGTGACTAGTTACCAGCCTATCCCTACTGACCAGTGTGACTAGTGACCAGTCTACCCCTGCTGACCAGTGTGACTAGTGACCAGTCTATCCCTACTGACCAGTGTGACTAGTGACCAGTCTACCCCTACTGACCAGTGTGACTAGTGACCAGTCTACCCTACTGACCAGTGTGACTAGTGACCAGTCTACCCCTACTGACCAGTGTGACTAGTGACCAGTCTACCCCTACTGACCAGTGTGACTAGTCACCAGTCTACCCCTACTGACCAGTGTGACTAGTGACCAGTCTATCCCTACTGACCAGTGTGACTAATGACCAGTCTATCCCTACTGACCAGTGTGACTAGTGACCAGTCTTCCCCTACTGACCAGTGTGACTAGTGACTAGTCTACCCCTACTGACCAGTGTGACTAGTGACCAGTCTACCCCTACTGACCAGTGTGACTAGCGACTAGTCTACCCCTACTGACCAGTGTGACTAGTGACCAGTCTATCCCTACTGACCAGTGTGACTAGTGACCAGTCTACCCCTACTGACCAGTGTGACTAGTGACCAGTCTACCCCTACTGACCACTCAGGTAGAATAATGACACTTTTTCTGGTGCCGCTGTAATTCAAGACCAGCACTGCAACTCGCCATGGTGATAATGCGGCTGACGTCACGTTACCAAGGAAAACATGGCGTTTGGCCGTGTTCGCCGGACTCGAGCGCTCTGCCTTTTTCAAAATCTTATTTTGAAGAAAACTTCCAGTCTTTTTCAACACTTGGATTGGAGGCCAGTCCCATCACGATCTGTACCAGTATCTTTATCATGGCCATTGTCTTGTGTCGCTGTGAGCTCGAATAGTTTTCTCTGATGAAGTATTCAGATAATTATTATGACGTTCTCTTTTATCGTGAGCATGAAGCTCCCCACTCGCAGCGAAGATGACATCGGACGGAATACCGGAAAAGCCTCTGTATAACCCCATGCACCAAGGCGTATGGCCGATTGGTTTGCAGGCCTGCCTGCGAATCATGAGGTCCCGAGTTCAAGACCTGCGCTGGTAGCAGGGAGCGTATAAAAGACTTTTTACGTATGTTGAACTGCGCCGACACCCACGGCCAACTGGGTACTCACAGCTCCGAGTGAGAATAACAAGGATGCAGTTTACAGGGTTATGGGCCGTTACACACCCGATTGGTTGAGAGACTAACCTCCTCTCCCCTGACTCACTTGTGAGGTCTGCATTCGCCACTAAGGTTAATAGGCATAGTGGCGGCCTGCGGATGCGAAGGCTAGTTTGTGTGTTTCTGAACGAACATTCAAGCAATGCCGACGCGGATCCCGCGAATATTATAACCCCACTCGAAATTATGCCCACCCTCCGTGTACACGCCTAGTCAGGGGAAGTCAACACTTTTGTTTCAAAATGGCGCCCATGCCCATGTATACGCCGAGGTATGCCGGCAACACCAGTACATGTACAGGTACTGATACCCAATACTTACTGCTATCACTATTCCAAGTATACGCCTGGTTCCAAAATAACGCCCGTGCCCTTGTATACGCCCAGGAAATCGAGGCTGCTATTCTATACGCCCAGGGCCGATACACGGGCTTTTACGGCAAATGTGTTGAGTCGCAAGCAGGAGTTCTGCTGACCTGAGTGATTAGCTCGGCGCGACCTGGGTCACGTGAGGACTCCAGTTCTAGTTGGGCAAAACCCCACGCACACATCTACTGTGTTCTGATCTAGCTCAAAGCGCGGAGTCGATTGAGAAAAATGACCAAGATCATAAAGAAGGCTTGTTTGCTTCCACAAAATGTTTTAGTAGCTGAGTCCATGCACTGAAAACTGCACTTGCCTTGTTTCTGTACTGTACAGTACAGAGTGCACTTGCAAGTCACAACGACACAAGCACAGTCGAGTACAGACTCAGATCAGTTGTGACCAGCAATCTCGAGTGGGAGTCAAGTGCCCTACTCAAGTGCATCCATGCTTGGCTCTCGTGCAGGTAGATGTACAGTGCATCTGGTGTGATGCACTACATGTACAGCACAGCATGCACTACATGTACAGCACAACATACACTACATGTACAGCACAGCATGCACTACATGTACAGCACAGCATGCACTACATGTACAGCACAGCATGCACTACATGTACAGCACAGCATGCACTACATGTACAGCACAGCATGCACTACATGTACAGCACAGCATGCACTACATGTACAGCACAGCATACACTACATGTACAGCACAGCATACACTACATGTACAGCACAGCATACACTACATGTACAGCACAGCATGCACTACATGTACAGCACAGCATACACTACATGTACAGCACAGCATGCACTACATGTACAGTACAGCATACACTACATGTACAGCACAGCATGCACTACATGTACAGCACAGCATGCACTACATGTACAGCACAGCATACACTACATGTACAGCACAGCATACACTACATGTACAGCACAGCATGCACTACATGTACAGCACAGCATGCACTACATGTACAGTACAGCATACACTACATGTACAGCACAGCATGCACTACATGTACAGCACAGCATGCACTACATGTACAGCACAGCATGCACTACATGTACAGCACAGCATGCACTACATGTACAGCACAGCATGCACTACATGTACAGCACAGCATGCACTACATGTACAGCACAACATGCACTACATGTACAGCACAGCATGCACTACATGTACAGCACAGTAGCATGCATTCAAGTAGCTTCACAGTAATTAGTATGTGTAGGAGACAATGTGGCTATTTTGAAACAGCAATTACAGCTTCATCCATAGACGAGGAGTGTGGGGAATGACTTTGGCGAATGAGAGCTGTTGCATTGGCTAGCTGTACATCCCAGCAAGCAGGAATGTGCTGGATATCGATACTAAACACCCGTTCATCGCGGTGGTGAGACTGAGCAGACCCCGAGGTACGACTGCTTCGTATACTAAATGTGTACAGTGCGTATGGTGAAACAAGTCGACACTGGTTTCCAGCGAAATGTTGTTATCTATGTACAATATCCACCAATATGCTTTATCTAGGGCCCAAAGGCTATCCAATTCATCAGGATTTGTGGCCTTACTATTTTTCGTTACTCCGCGTTTTGGGTTGAAATCTGAACATAAAAAGTAGCACTGTTGACGTCATTCTGCCCCTAATTGAAATTTGATACCGGCAATCGATGACAACTAATCCAATGTATCGACACACAAAATTTGGTTGAAAAATATTGATGTATGCCAAAGTTATTACCGATACAAGTTTTGTCAGGGGTGTCACCCGTGAGGGGCACGGGGCACGTGCACCCCCCGAAAAATTCGACCTTGATTTTTTGCGAACCGCTGGTTATGAAAAGTGTAGTGCTGGTAGAATCTACTAATAAACTGCATGCACTAAAACTAGTTTTACTGCGCTGCTGGGATCGCGTGAGTGCATGTAGCGAGTGCATGTGGCGAGTGCATGTAGCGAGTGCATGTAGCAAGTGCATGTAGCGAGTGCATGTAGCGAGTGCATGTAGCGAGTGCATGTAGCGAAGGCATGTAGCGAGTGCATGTAGCGAGTGCATGTAGCGAGTGCATGTAGTGAGTGCATGTAGCGAGTGCATGTAGCGAGTGCATGTAGCGAGTGCATGTAGCGAGTGCATGTAGCGAGTGCATGTAGCGAGTGCATGTAGCGAGTGCATGTAGCGAGTGCATGTAGGGAGTGCATGTAGCGAGTGCATGTAGCGAGTGCATGTAGCGAGTGCATGTAGCGAGTGCATGTAGCGAGTGCATGTAGCGAGTGCATGTAGCGAGTGCATGTAGCGAGTGCATGTAGCGAGTGCATGTAGCGAGTGCATGTAGCGAGTGCATGTAGCGAGTGCATGTAGCGAGTGCTTGTAGCGAGTGCATGTAGCGAGTGCATGTAGCGAGTGCATGTAGCGAGTGCATGTAGCGAGTGCATGTAGCGAGTGCATGTAGCGAGTGCATGTAGCGAGTGCATGTAGCGAGTGCATGTAGCGAGTGCATGTAGCGAGTGCATGTAGCGAGTGCATGTAGCGAGTGCATGTAGCGAGTGCATGTAGCGAGTGCATGTAGCGAGTGCATGTAGCGAGTGCATGTAGCGAGTGCATGTAGCGAGTGCATGTAGCGAGTGCATGTAGCGAGTGCATGTAGCGAGTGCATGTAGCGAGTGCATGTAGCGAGTGCATGTAGGGAGTGCATGTAGCGAGTGCATGTAGGGAGTGCATGTAGCGAGTGCATGTAGCGAGTGCATGTAGCGAGTGCATGTAGCGAGTGCATGTAGCGAGTGCATGTAGCGAGTGCATGTAGCGAGTGCATGTAGCGAGTGCATGTAGCGAGTGCATGTAGCGAGTGCATGTAGCGAGTGCATTTACATGAACGATTGTACTAGTACTCTAGTAGTACTACTGCTACTAATTTAGTATTTAAAGTTACCTACTACGCACGTAGATCTCTGCCCGTGCACATGTGCGCAGCACTGCATCCTTTGGCCTTGTACTGGAATAAACACGCGTGTCGGCATTCTGGGTGTTTGTTTGAAACAGAATAAATACACAATTCAGGACACACAAAACACACAGGACCTTTTCCGTCATCGCCCCTGCTGTTCCAAACCTGCTCAACCCCCCATGGGGTCCGCATAGCCAGAATATGGTATCGTGTCCAAGGTCCAAGGTGTGTGTTGTTGTTATTGTTGAAATTTTATTTTGTATCGCTGACCAAATGGGCAATGGTGCCCAATATTATGATGGCGATAAAAGTAACGGCCGAAAGCCAAGGATACAACAAGCAAGCCTCCACGAAAGAGAGAAAAACACAGAAAACACAGACTGCAAATTAGGGGTGAAAGTTGGCACTGAGATCCCGAGTTCGAGTACTCTGATTTTCTCCGATCGAATATTCGAGTATTCGAGTATTCTTGATATCCTAAAAATCGCACACCAACCTCCTCAAAAATCACATGATACAACCCTGATTGAACCGATAGGTAGTTCTTTTCTCGGGTGTATTGGTTGGTGGGTCATTTGGGCTCTCTCTACTCGTGTACAAATATTCACCACACAGTCTTCACATCAATATCTGCTGACTGCTGCTCTGAAACTGCAGACTTCTGTGGTAAATGTATGTACCATGTATGAGCGAGTACTCTGATTTATTCCGAGTACGATTATATTTGAAAAATCCAAACGAGTATTCGAATATTCTTTATAATTGTTTCACCCCTACTGCAAATACTCAAAAAGAAAAAAAGAGAAAGGGAAAATAAGAAAAAGGAAGAAGAAGAAAACGTATGAGGGAAAAAGGAAAGAAGAACAAAAGACAAACATAACGAAAAAAAAGCACAGTTGAGTCACAGTTGAGTCACAGTTGAGTCACAACTCCAAGTGCAAACCTAGATGCTGGGTAGCCATAAAAATATGCCTTTAAAAGTCTCTTGAATGATCTATGGCAGGCGAGGGACTTGAACTCTTGGGGCAGAGCGCTCCATAATCTAACAGCAGAAACGAGCGGCCGACAGTCACCAGAGACCCGCCTCGTGGCAGGGAGAACATACGCATTTGGATCATTGATCCGAGTGACGCCTTCAGTATGGCGACGTAGGCGCTTGCACAGAATATTACTAATTCTGGAGGTGGGGATACGAAGCATGAGGAGGCGGAGTTTACAGTGGGTGTTTTGGATGATGGGGATGAGGCCAAGACGGGTGTAGATCGGATCTGTGTTGGAGGGGAATGGCTGGTTGGCAACGCAGCGGATACATCGCTTGTCGAGGACCGATGTGTGTGTATGTGTGTATGTGTGTGTGTGTGTGTGTGTGTGTGTGTGTGTGTGTGTGTGTGTGTGTGTGTGTGTGTGTGTGTGTGTCTGTGTGTTTGTATACATGTATATATGTGTGTGTGTGTGTGTGTACTTGTGCATTGGTACATGGGTGCATACACATGTGTGTGCATGTGAGAGAGTATTTATGCGTACCTATCTTATCATGTATATAGGTGAACAAGATACAACTGCAGCATGTGAACGCATAGTGGAAATGCAAAACCAGACCAACACAACTGTCCGTCAACTACAGGAGCAAAGTGCTACAACCTCAACAAGCATTGGACAACTACTGGAGCACCAGCAAGACACTAATGATAAGGTTTCACGTGTCTCAGCAGCTGTTACCACCATTCAACAAGGTGAGTACATTTTTTCAAGGTCTCCAGTAAAACTTTTAACTAAAGACCAGTGTGACTAGTGACCAGTCTATCCCTACTGACCAGTGTGACTAGTGACCAGTCTACCCCTACTGACCAGTGTGACTAGTGACCAGTCTACCCCTACTGACCAGTGTGGCTAGTGACCAGTCTACCCCTACTGACCAGTGTGACTAGTGACCAGTCTACCCCTGTAGAGCATGCAGATTCTTCAACCTTGTACCTGTTGCATTGTAGTCTAGTGCCTGTGTCACTGTAGCTTGGTGTGTTTAAACCTGTACAGTAATAAGACTAGTATCCTTTGCATGTGAAGTTCGAACCTACCTTTTTCAGAAGCTTTCCTTTTTTCTTTACTTTCTTCCAATAAATGTCTTCTGATTGGCCGAATCTGTGCCATCTCTCTATCTCCTGATTGGTCTAAACCGTTGCTCGTTGTTATGTGAAACCTGAACTCTCTTAGTCTTGGCACATATAAAAAGCTCTGTCTCTGAAGAAAGATCATCCTTCATTTCTTCAAACTTCTCCTTGCTCTGGTGAGACTTGTTGGTTGTTGTGTGCCCAACCACTTGGGCCACGCTACACCCCTACTGACCAGTGTGACTAGTGACCAGTCTATTCCTACTGACCAGTGTGACTAGTGACCAGTCTATCCTTACTGACCAGTGTGACTAGTGACCAGTCTATCCCTACTGACCAGTGTGACTAGTGACCAGTCTACCCCTACTGACCAGTGTGACTAGAGACCAGTCTATCCCTACTGACCAGTGTGACTAGTGACCAGTCTACCCCTACTGACCAGTGTGACTAGTGACCAGTCTATCCCTACTGACCAGTGTGACTAGTGACCAGTCTATCCCTACTGACCAGTGTGACAAGTGACCAGTCTATCCCTACTGACCAGTGTGACTAGTGACCAGTCTACCCCTACTGACCAGTGTGACTAGTGACCAGTCTATCCCTACTGACCAGTGTGACTAGTGACCAGTCTATCCCTACTGACCAGTGTGACTAGTGACCAGTCTACCCCTACTGACCAGTGTGACTAGTGACCAGTCTACCCCTACTGACCAGTGTGACTAGTGACCAGTCTACCCCTACTGACCAGTGTGACTAGTGACCAGTCTACCCCTACTGACCAGTGTGACTAGTGACCAGTCTACCCCTACTGACCAGTGTGACTAGTGACCAGTCTACCCCTACTGACCAGTGTGACTAGTGACCAGTCTATCCCTACTGTCCAGTGTGGCTAGTGACCAGTCTACCCCTACTGACCAGTGTGGCTAGTGACCAGTCTACCCCTACTGACCAGTGTGACTAGTGACCAGTCTACCCCTACTGACCAGTGTGACTAGTGACCAGTCTACCCCTACTGACCAGTGTGACTAGTGACCAATCTACCCCTACTGACCAGTGTGACTAGTGACCAGTCTACCCCTACTGACCAGTGTGACTAGTGACCAGTCTATCCCTACTGTCCAGTGTGGCTAGTGACCAGTCTACCCCTACTGACCAGTGTGGCTAGTGACCAGTCTACCCCTACTGACCAGTGTGACTAGTGACCAGTCTACCCCTACTGACCAGTGTGACTAGTGACCAGTCTACCCCTACTGACCAGTGTGACTAGAGACCAGTCTATCCCTACTGACCAGTGTGACTAGAGACCAGTCTATCCCTACTGACCAGTGTGACTAGTGATAGCGATGTCAGGGTTGTTGTGGTCCCGTTGTTGTACCCGATCCGTTCCGGGATCGGTTACCCATATGCATTCCCGTACTGTGTACATATATGGATCCTGGTTGTGCATCTTTATCTTTCCTTGTTCTATGTAAATAAACTTTAGTTGTTGTCTGGGACTTGTGGAGTGAAGTTGATCTATGGAGTGCAGGAACTAACTTGATGTTCACTCAGGAACATTACATGGTGTCAGAAGTAGCAGTTAGTCATGTCGTCTGCCAAATTTCCTGTACCTGCCCCGTTCGATTTCTCCACCCCAGAAGCATGGCCACTCTGGAAGACCCGTTTTGAACGCTTTAGTTCTTTGTCCAAATTGGACGAGGCGGACGGGCAACGCCAAGTAGACACTTTAGTTTACTCCATGGGAGCCGAAGCCGATCCTATCTTTGAGTCTCTATCTCTGTCCGCGGATGATAAGAAGAAACTCGACAAGGTACTGGAGGCCTTTGACAAGTATTTTCGCCCGGGTGTAAACGTAATCCACCAACGGACATTGTTTGAAAGGTGTGTCCAGAACCCAGGTGAATCCGTAGAAGAGTATGTGCGTCGTCTCCGTGCCGCAGCCAAATATTGCGCGTTTGACAAGTCCGATGAGCGTATCCGCGACAGGTTGGTGGCCCATATGACGAACCGAGAAGTTTCGAAGAAGCTACAGCTCGAGGATCACGCTCAGCTGACACTCGAGACTGCCGTGAGCTTGGCACGCAAAACGGAGTCCGTAAACGCCGAGGTCGCCCAGCAAACGCCCCGGGTGAGCCAAGCTGCTGCAGCTACCTCACCGCAACGGAAACACGGCAAGTCCCCTGCTTACGCAAGTTACGGATCGACAGGAAAGCGACCACAGGTCAAGTCCCAACGAGACTCGAGCAACAGTAAGAAGTGCTCGTGGTGTGGCTCCTCCAAAGACCACAAATCGAACCGTGACGAATGCCCTGCCAAGGACAAGTCGTGTAACAAGTGTCGTAAATCTGGACACTTCGCCAGCGTCTGCCGGTCTGCCTCCACCAGTGCAGCACACAACGATTATGTGCATGTAGCTGAGTTTGACTTGCAGTCGGACCCCGTCGGCGAAAATTTCCTTGGAGCTGCTTCTACCCACACCGCTGACGAGCCGTGGATAGTACGACTGGATCTGTGCGGCTCACACCTCGATTTCAAAATCGACACTGGGGCTGATCTCAACATTATGACGCAGGCCAGCTACAACGCTTTATCTGCACCGCCAGAACTCAGTCCGTGCCAGACACGTATGATTGGGCCTGATGGGAACCAGCTCACGATACAGGGTGAGTTCCACACTTGTGCTGTGTTCCGTGATGTACAGTACCCAGTCACTATCCTGGTCATTGCCACTGGTGGTGTCAACTTGCTGAGCAGGCAGACATCTGAACTGATGGGCCTAGTACAACGTCTTCATGTTGGCTCTTCAGATGCCCAGCCGAAAATCGGATGCATGCTAGGCAAGCCAGTCGAGATTGAGTTGAAGCCAGACTGCAAACCATACAACTGTGTAAATGCTCGACGCATTCCAATACACATCTGCCTCAAGGTTCGTACCGACCTGGAGCGTATGGAAAAAGCAGGTGTCATCACAAAAGTCGAGCAGCCGACCGACTGGTGTTCACCCCTCGTGTCGGTCCTCAAGCCGAACGGCAATTTGCGTGTATGCGTAGACCTCAAGCGCCTGAATGCCAGCGTCAAGAGAGAGCACTACCCATTACCGACCGTGGACGACACGCTCGCACAACTCAACGGTTCTACCATATTCTCTACGCTGGACACCACGTCTGGCTTCTGGCAGATCCCACTCTCCGAGGAAGCGTCGTTGCTGACGACGTTTATCACTCCCTATGGCCGCTTCAAGTTCGACCGCATTCCCTTCGGCATAACGAGCGCGCCTGAGATATTCCAGCGCCGGCTACAAGGTTTACTCAGCGATATTCCCAACGTAGCAGTGTTCATAGACGACATCATCGTCTATGCTTCATCGATGGCTGAGCATGATGCTGCTCTGCTCGCCGTCGAGAACCGACTCCGTGATGCCGGTCTGACACTGAATCTGAACAAGTCTAAGTTCAGATGCACGTCCCTAAAGTACCTGGGCCATCGGATCAGCGACAAGGGTGTCCACCCTGACCCAGTTAAGCTGGATGCCATTGAGCGCCTCGCAGCACCAGCTGATGTGGAAGAGCTCCGTCGTGCACTCGGTCTCTTCACATACCTCTCCAAGTTTCTGCCGTCATTGTCGACCGTAGCCGCCCCACTGCGCGAGCTACTCCGGTGCGACGCGACGTGGCAATGGACCAAAGCACATGAGCTAGCTTTCACAGAGCTCAAACGCCTAGCTGCCTCAGCCCCGTGTCTCGCGTACTACGACCCGTCTGCACCGACCATCGTCACGGCTGATGCGAGCAGCTATGGATTGGGTGCTGCACTGCTACAGTTCCACGACAATGAGTGGAAGCCGGTCGCGTACGCCTCACGCACCATGACAGCAGCAGAGAAACGGTATGCCCAGATCGAGAAAGAGCTCCTCGCCTCGGTCTGGGGATGTGAACACTTCCATCAATACCTCTACGGAGCGCCCCGATTTACCATTCAGACGGACCACAAGCCGCTGGTCCCACTAATGAACACGCGTGACCTCGACCGAGTACCTCTACGCTGCCAACGTCTACTGATCAGACTCATGCGCTATGATGTACAGGCAGAGTACGTGCCTGGCAAGAACATGGTTCTCGCCGACACGCTGTCCAGAGCTCCTCTTCCTGACACGCCAGCAACCGTATCCGACCTACACAGTGACTCGGAAGCCACCATCGCCGCTGTCCTGTCGTCTCTATGCAGTCCTACCAAGCAACACGCTCTCGTTACAGCCACTGCTGACGATCCAGTCCTGCAACAAGTAATCCAGCGTACCCTCCATGGCTGGCCGACCAAGGTCAACGCAGACCTGGAAGCCTACCGCAACGAACGTGGCTCGCTCTCAGTTCACGACGGTCTGCTGTACCACGGATTTCGGATCGTAGTCCCGGCGTCCGAGCGCAAAGCTACACTTGCCACTTTGCATGACGGCCACCAAGGCATAACCAAGTGCCTGGCCCGTGCGAAGTCCTCCGTCTGGTGGCCAGGTATCACACGTGCCATTTCAGAATGCGTGCAGAACTGCCTGACCTGCACCAAGCATCGTTTTCAGCCGCCAGAGCCTCTGTCTCCAACTGCGTTTCCCTCTTTGCCATGGGAGAGAA